TTTTTTTTTTTTTTTTTTTAATTAAAAAATTTTTTTTACAAAAAAAAAAAGAAATACATTTAAAAATGAGCAGCACCTCGGAAGCCTGATAAGTCATGACTGATCAAATATGGCATGCACAGAACAATTCAATGATGTGAGAGCAGTCACCTTGCTGCGTGCAGTCTCGACAGTGACCGAACAGCAAGTACGGGGTCCCCCCCGCCCTTCTCAGGCTGCACTCTTCTCCAGTTCAATAACTAAAAAACAGAATATGAAAGTTGGTCAACCACGGTATTAATTCTATAATTGTATTTGAAATAATTTTTGTCAGTTTATTGTTAAATCGATACGAAATCAAATTAGATTCATAAAAAACAACTTTCTTATAAGTGTAAAATCAAACCAGTAGTTACATGTTAGCTTCTTCATACAGTTACTGTATTTTGTTCCTTTCAGTTTTTATTGGGGTTTTAAGCTCGCATTATATTTTTCCTTCTAAATCAAGTTTTCTGATAATACTTGAAATAAGAATAGGGACACTTAATCTTTAACTTGGCGTACTTCAATCATCGAACCACGAGAATTTTAAAATTACATTTTGTTAGACATCTATTTGCCAAGTTATAAAACTACACGTTCCATTATTTAATTTTTAATTCAGGGAGAGAGAGAGAAAGAAGGAAAAGAAAAATGTTTGTTCTATGAATGAACATAAAGTGTAGCTTGTAATTTTACTGGTTAGAAGAACGGACAAGTGCCAGTTAGTAAGTTTTTACTTAGAAACTGACAATGGACATAACTATTGTTTGATAGATTTTGTAATTTTTCCAAACCATACCGCGACATCGGCAAATGCAGATAAAGTTGTATGAATTGTTAAAATGTTCACACAAGTCTCTGTTTAAAGACAAATTTATCATTTGTACACTGAATCACGACTTACCATCTTTGGTAGGAAGTGGATTCTTCTCTACGGTTTCGGTGGGTCTGAGATTTGATGGATTATAGGATTGGATGTTCTTCAGGAGTTCCTGCTGTCCTTTTTCAAGTATGATCTCTGTGGTCAAAGAAAGAAAAGGTGACACTAACAATTACATGTAAATTTTGCAGGAGAATGATAATTGTAAGCCACTCCCACCACACTTTGTCACCAACTGGTTGTCTGCTTGTAGAAATGCACATAACCTATTTTTGTTAGTCATTCCACAGTTTATATTTACTAAACAGTTAAGGGTTTTTTAGTGCCATCTATTGGAAATGGGGAGTATTAATAACGTGGAGGTTCTTTTTTTTTTTTTTTTTTTACAAGCACAAGCAATTTGAATAAGGATGTAACTGTTTAGTTTCATCACCTCTTGCATTACGTATTTCAAGACATGCCAGTTGTTACTTGGTTAATGTTATTCCAGTATATTTTACCTGCTTAGTCCAATCTTTTAACTTTAGACATGCCTTCCTTTACCATTTTCATCTATTTGTCAACCACTGACGATAAAACCTTCAATACACAGAACATGTTTGCTCTATTACAACCACGCTAGATGATGGGTTAAACAAAGTGGGCCGTTCTGTTATTGTATACACTGTTCTACACACAGAGTTTTTTTATCATGCGCTTGTTGTTAAACATCAGATACCTTCTTTTGTGGGCAGCACACTCTTTTCTTCCGTGTTTGTTTGCTTTAAGGCGCTTCGATTAAAATTTTCAACACCCTCAATCATCTCTTGATGAATTTTCTCTTGTTTGATATCTGAAGTTGAAGGAACAAAAAACCTAAGCCTAAAGTTTAAAAATGACCAAAAACAGATCTTTGGTGAATGGATATCTAAATGCCTTTATCATCTCTTTAGGTGCAAGCTACAAATTGAACTAAGCCTTATGAAACTTATTTTCAGTCTTAAAAGTTCAGTTGATCACAACAAATTACTTAAAAACCTAAATTCTTTTTAATCAAAATACACAAAACAGCAAAGAATAAATAATTCCGAAACCATTAAGACTACTAATACTTAACATTTACTCTTAAACAGACCCTGTTAGAAGCACAATGATGTGCCTTTATAGTTATTATGGAGCAAAGCATACAGGAATTTTTTCTTTACAGCTGTCCAGGCTCTAATTTCTGGAACATGTATTGTCCACTGACAACTATGTTAGATTTCCAATATAAACAACTTAGAACCGATTTTCATTATGTAAAGTGTATTCTTTATGTCTTTAAAACAAAAAGTGTGCTTTTAAGTTCCCATCTTTATGTGTGACCAAGTAAACTTGAATTAAGTTATTAATCTCATAATGTTAAGATTTTTTTAAACATCCTTTCATTCAATTCTCATCTTAAACTGGTTGTGAGTAGAGTGTACTTAATTCTATGTTTAATTAAAAAATGATAAATCAGTATAGTAAAGAAGAGTGAAGTCCCTTAGTGTATGTTATTCTAGGAATTAAATGCAACTGTGAAGATAAACTTGTGTTTTCGCAATTTCAGTATTACCTCACAAGTGTTATGATCTTGTAAAAAATTTTTTTTGAGTTAAAATAAATATCACAGAAAAAAAAAAATCACGAGGCTTGGGAGAACAGCTAAGAGTTCAGCTACCAGTTACGATTCTCGTGGCAAAATCTGAGATTATAAGCTTTACGAAAATATCTGAAGCAACCTGCAGTTTCTGATCTCAATATTCAAACATGGATTTAGTTATATTCTAACAAATTATTAAAAGGAAAAGTTAAGTAAAAAAAAATGCTGTTATTGGTGAAATTATCATATACCGTTTACAGATAGAACATTATTTCCTGGTTCTGTGTAGGCTGAAAAAAACTTTCAAACTATTTCATCCCACAATGATTTGATGCATCTTCTGATGAATGTCAAAAGTGAACACAAATAGGTTTTTAGATACTAACACAGGTACAGTGTTCTACAAACCAGGAGTCGAAACTGCGAGATGATAGATAGTCCATTTTGTTTTGTAAAATACTGTTTCATTTTTGATTTAACTGGATTGTTTCAGTATTCTAATAAAGTACCAGTATTTATGCTAACTTATCCAGTATATTAATACTAACTAAATGCACAGTTATATTTCAAAACGAGTAAAGTTTGTATCAACGTCTCTACAGCAAGTTTTACTCAAATTTCTTTTAATTATGTCTGTCCAAACTAATCTTTTAATCCAAACGTACTTGTTAGTGACAGTTTCTCGTTGTATTAAATAACAGGGCTAACGAGGATATCAAACGACGATACACGTTTATGAATAATTACTGTTGAAAAGAAAAACGTTTTATTGGCGGGGACTACTTGAACATTAAGCTGTCATTTTACGGCTTCGATTTAGAGCTTTTTAAAACTAGGGTATAAGGGACAATAAGTTATAAAATGTTATGTTTGAATTTCATTATTTTACCGATGATAAACTCTCAACGCCTATCTCCAAGTTAACTGACGCTTACCTTCTTTGGATG